TCACTGCTGAAAAACTGCGCCAGTTGGAATGGGAAGTTCTCCCTCAACCTGCATATTCTCCTGATATTGCCCCGTCTGATTACCATTTGTTTCATTCTTTGCAAAACTTTCTTCTTGGAAAAAAATTTAATAATGAAGAATGCCTCAAAAATGCATTGACCGAATTTTTTGCATCAAAATCACAAGAATTTTACAACAGAGGGATTAAAATGCTTCCTGAGCATTGGGCACAAGTAGTAGAAAACAACGGCAACTATATTGTTGATTAAATTTTGTTGTATTGTTTAAACAAATTCGATTTTAAAAAGTTTTAGAAAACGACATTAATTATTACTAGACCTAATATGAACCTAAACTTGTATGCCAGGCTTAACTCATCCACATTTGTGCTGAGGTCCTTTCTGACTTATCAGAGATTGGCAGCACAAGACTTTCTCTCAGTTCTTTCCACAGCCCCCTCTCTTTAGCTGTTTTGGAAGTGTAACATTCAGTGCTGTTTGTTCCTTGGCAATCAGAAAGGAACTGCTCTTTCCACCATGGCTTCCTTGATGGTGCCAAATAATGCAAAACCACTTTAAGAGAAAGGCTTCCCCTACTTCTTTCAAGCATGAAATTCACCAGCCTTCCCTTTTCCTCACCTGTGTTCAACCCACTTCAATCTTTTGTCCAATTCAGTCCAAGAGAAAAGCTATAGATAGCTTGGTATTGATTAGGTATATGCATAGGTGTAGATGTAGAAATATACATAGGTGTAGGTATAGTTATAGGTTTAGGTGTAGGTATAGGTAGAGTTGTAAGTGTAGTTATAGGTGTAGTGGTATGTGTAGTTTTGGGATGAAGGGCCTTGGAAGGTCTGTGGGGAGTGAGGATGGCCTAGACTGAATGTTTCTTGGATCCAGACTTACCTCCCTGCTGTCCCTCAGTGACTCTGGAACAAGGCTTGGTCAGTCACTGCCAGTAGGTGTCAGCTGCCATGGGGGTATGCCTGGCAGAGAGCCAATACTCTCACCCCTAGGATAGTTTACAATGCCCTTCAAGAGGAATAGACTGGATTCTTCCCAGAGATTAACACACAAACAAAATTCTTGCTCTTTCTCTCGTACTCCCTACGATTGACCAAACACTTTTATAGGACATATTAACAAGTGGTGAATACAGGCCACAGATCCAGCAGATAAATAATTCAGAGAGAAATACATTCCAGAAAACTGAGTTGATTGTGACTGGAGAGTTCTTTGATAAATATAACATGTTTCCAAACACTCATTACATTATATTGTTATCACAGAAGGCACTTTATCCTGATTATTTTCCATGAAAAGAATGGCTGGGAGAACTGAAAGTTCTGGGGAAACATTTAAATAGTTACAATTAAATAGTTTTTCCGTAGCAAATGCCTTCTTAAGTTAATTGCCGGCTCACTGAGTTTCTTTGGCCTTGGGTTGTGAGAGGAGGGGCGAGCATTATGTGCTTTGAGACTTCACTCTCAGAAAATGAAGGGTGCAGATTCCAGACTATGTTCTCAGCAGACACCCCAAGGCACCATAGTCCTATTTGGCTGGGTGAATTCTGATTGATGGCTTTGACTGCCTGCCCACCCACACTCTTTATTTCCTTTAGTTTATTATATAATTATGTTTATTTGATGCACATAAAAAATTCAAACACGCCCAAAATAAAACATAAAACAACCCCAAACTAAAACTTAAAAGAGTACCAAAAACCCCAAAAAGTCATCCCCTTTCACCTTGTACAGTTTCCTAAAGGCAGCCACTTAGCAGTTTCTTATGCGTCTTCCCAAAGATCAATAAGTAAATATTTATATATGTGTATTTCTCTCTCTCTTCCACATATATAATCATACTATATATGTGGTACTATACCTGATTTCTCATTAAACAATATGTCTTGATAATTATTCTCTCTCTCTCTCTCTCTCTCTCTCTCTCTCTCTCTCTCTCTCTCTCTCTCCAGCCAAATTATTTTTAATGGCTGCATAATATTTTTTCTTCCAAATCTACCATAATTTATTTAGTCATTTCTCTATTGATGTTTGGGTTGCTTTGTCTTTGGCTGAAGTAATTTCTAAGGTTGAGGCGGGAGTGTTTGCTGTGACTTTGGGTTTTGTTTGGATGGTAGGTACCTCCTGGGCTGTTGGGCCAATTGAGGGGCATTTATGGAGACTGGGTGGGAAAGGAAAGGCATTATATCAGAGAACAGATGTCTAGTGAGGGACTGGGTAAAGTCTTGCTTCATGGGATGTGATTTCATTTTCTCCTCCACCTTGCCAGGAAAACCTCAGCAAAATGGCATTGCTGGCAAATGCCTATGGCATTCATTCACACATTCAGCAAATAATATTGCATTTCATCCATGTGTGAGGCACTGTTCTTAGGTGTTGTCACCTCAGGACAGCAGTGAATAAAACAAAGTCCATACTGTCATGGTAGTTACATTTAGTGGAGGGAAATAAAATGGAAAGCAAATGAATATACAACTTTACTAAAGACCAATAAAGCAAGGCAGGGCAGGAGAGCAACAGAAGGTGTTGGAACTGTCTTTCCAGGAGGCAATGCTGTGTGATGCCTCAGGCAAGGTGGGTTCTGGGTGGGCACTGAGGCTGCTCGCAGAAGCACTGCATCTGGGTTGCCTGGGATGCCAGTGGCTTCCGACACTCTCCCATGCCCATTCCCACAGGCTCCTGCCCTCAGCTGGGCATGGCCAGCAAATGCTGCCTCTGTAGCCAGGAATGGGGGGCCATTTCCTTTGCAGGCATGAAGTAGAATTTGTGGGGGATGGAGAGATGAAAAGGGACAGAGACCTAGAATAAAGGGATGGCAGACTAGGAAAAAATGTGGATATTCCACCATCAGATTAATTCAACATCACTGAATTTTCGAAGGGCTTCTCATCAGTCACTGTTTAGCAGGGGGCATGGAAAATTATTAAACGTGAACTGAAATGAAAACGCCATACTTTGTAAAACATGCAAGGTTACCTACTATGGTGACTGCTCCCAGAGTTTTAATGTGTCTGCTGCACGGCTAATTAATTTGCTTTGAGCTTCATTGGAATTCCTATTTGAGATGATTGTCTTGGTAACTGAATGCACCACAGTGAGCAAGAACATAAAAAATGTCATTTGGGGCTCCTATAGCAATCTGAGCCTGTCTCCGGGCTTCCTCAGCCCACATCAGTGAGGACTGTCTGTGTCCCTGACTAGTTCTTTAGACTTGGAGGGGGCACAGGATTTCCCAGAGGTTGTATAGTCCATTGTGTTATGTGTGGTGGTTTAGAATTCAGACTCTGAAGTCAGACCAGTCTGAGATTTCACATTTACTAGCAGCCACTTACTGTGTGACCTCAAGTGTTTAATGTCACCGTTTCCTTATCTAATAAAGTTAAAATAGTTTTATTACCCATCCAAGAGAGATGTTGTAAAATTATGACAGACTAGAAGCCTGGTGCATGAAATTCGAGCATGGATAGGGTCCCTAGGCCTGGCTGGCTGTCAGGGACAATCTGTGGGGTAACTGACAGGGTGATTGGGGCCTCCACTCGCACCTGCCTTGGCCTGGCACTGCCTGCTCACCTGCTCCACCATTCCACCATAGTCCAGCTCTCATTGGGGCCCATTGGAACTGGCAGTGCTTCTATTGCCACCTGATGCCAGCACCGCATCACAGACTCCCATCCTCTGGTGTTCAGTGCATGTCTAACTCCCAGTCCATCAAATTCCTACCCTTGGGGACAATTTGCATATTAGCATTTTATTATATAGGATGTGTTTGAAAAGCATCTGGTTCATCGTACACTATCATTAAATAGAATGTTTTCTTCTTCTTATTCTCCTCCTCCTCATCATCATCATTCCCCTCCCCTTTCTGCCTATGTGTCTAATTTGTGTGTTATTGGGATTTGAGCCATTGTGTTCAAATTGGGCAAACTATAATGGGCAGGATTAGCACAACTAAAACTGTCTCCCAAGGCCTCAAGGAAACAAGAGATTATGTGACTTGAGCATAATTGGCTTTGCTGCTGTGATGTAATTTGGGCAAATCCCTTCATTTCTCTGGCCTCCACCGTCCTCTTTGGTAGGATAGAGAGATAGAAATTAATGATCTCTTAGGTCCTGTCCCACTCCAAGGGGAGCAATGTCTAAAGAACTACACCTAGGTAAGTTAGGGTATATTTGGCAGCAAGTTGCAAATTAACCAATTGACAGTGCTTAAACAAATGACATTGATTTGAAAGAGTTCTAGACACATTTTAGCAAGCCAAATCCAGCAATGTGTAAAAATGATTACGTATTACAACCAAGCTGGAGCAGTTTTCTATTTGTATCCTCTGAATGCAGCTCATTCAATGATCTACTTAACATAGTTTCCTCTTCAATAACACTGAACATTTCTCAAGAACATTGGTGGTGTCTTCTATATCTTTTCACCTCCCAGAGTTTCTAGCTCTGTATATTGCTAAATAAGTATCTCCCAACAACAGCTTAAATGAAAATATCTGAATGAATGCAAAATCCTGGGTAATCATCACAGTACCCAGCACTTTACCACCAGGTATGTCTTAGGCCTATCAACAAGTTATAAATTAGTAGATTTTTGAGATTTTAGTCTAATGGTTTGCACATATAATTCCTCAGGAGCTCTTAACACATCACAATAATACTATTAAACAGTAATTAACTTTGTGAATAAAAGAGAAGTCACAAACATTATTTATTACTTTGCCAGTCTTAATAAAGACCTAATGTGCTAATAGCTTCTATTGAAAGAGCTGCCATCAGTTAAGTAAAAACATTGTTATGTTGCAATCACAAAAAGCAATAGAGGCAACTGGTTTTCTGATTGCTAACAGGCATTAACTGGTTTATGGGTACCCATTCCAGTAGCTTTCTGTTGTATTGTGTTATTTTATGGCACTCTATTAAACACAGCGCTAGGTTATAGCTGAAAGGCACTTTAAGAGCAAACCACTCATTTAATGTTTTAAAAACTGTGTCTCAAATATCTCTTAGGGGCTCCTGGAAATCTCTTAAGGGACTTTCTGGGTGTTGTAAGCTCAGGGACAGTGTATGCACAATTCTATGGGCAAAGAAGGGCTTTTGACATGGCTATCTTGATACAAGAGTCATCTTGACACAATCATTTGGGTGCAGGTATTGTGTCATGGCTTGGCTGCACAAAATGATCCTGTAAAATCATGAAACCACTGTTTCTAATAACCAATCACGTATACAGTAACTGTCCTTGATTCTTATTCTACCCCAACCCCTCCTGCTATGGTGATTTTCATTTTCTATTTTATTCACTTATCTATTGTTTGAATTTTATGCACATTTATTACTTTTACTCAGGAAAAAATATTAAAGACATTTTTTTAGAAGTCTTATTAAACTAGGATAGGTTCTTAGGAGCATCAAGCTTATCTCCCCAAACCAGCATTACATAGGAATATTATGAAATGAAAATGTATATTACCAAAAGTTCTGAGAGAACGGTTAGCAATGTAATTGGCAATTTTCTGTGCAGTCTGGAGCTGAGAGTATAGGGTTGAATATCTTTTATACAAAGTGTCTTTAAGTCTGATGACTGAATGAGAGAATTTGAGACCTGGACCAGCCAAGCGTTAAGTAAATTCTTAGGGAATTCCTGAGTCTCTGAACCTCATGTACCCTCACCATACCCTTCAACGTGACCTCACCCCTTTTCTCTACTCTGAAATGACATTGCCAGTATGGGGAAGACATAATGTGGGCTTATTGGGTTTTCAAATTATTTGCTATTAGCTTCATGTGGCTGCTTTAACAAATTATCACATACTTGGCAGCTTAAAACAGCAGAAAATTATTCTTTCACGGGTTTGATGGCCATAAATCAAGGGCTGGCTGTGCTTCTTCTGAAATCTCTAGGGAAGAATCTTTCCTTGTCTCTTCCAGATTCTGATGGACCCAGTATTTCTTTGGCGTGTGGTTGCAGAACTCTAATCTTGGCCTCTTTTTTAATATGGTCTTTCGCTCTGTGCCAGTGTCTTCTCTTCCTATAAGGATACTTGTCATGGAATTTAGGGCCTTCAAAAGGGGAGGATATACAAAGGGAATGGGAAGAATGACCCAGAAGAGGATAAGATTATCTCTTTATCTCAAAGTCCTTAATTATATCTGAAAAGACACCCCCCTTTTTTTCCAAATAAGAAAACATTTCAATCTTTTGCCATATTCACAAGTTCTGGGGATTAGGATGTAGATATACCATTTTGAAGCATCTATTCAACCCCACTACATTTGGTAATTTAAAAAGGGAAATTTAAGTGAAATAAATAAATAAAGAGGAACATTGGTAATTTTTAAAAATTGAAAGTTTAATTTATTGCATTTTCTCCTGAGTCAAAATGTTCCTTGGTCAAAACATCTGCTGGTATGAAAATGTCACTGAGCTGATTCTGGAGCTCATGCCTATGTCAGCTAGAGCCTCTTATTTCCTTTTGGCTGTTCTGTGGGAGCTTTGGCTAGAGTAAAACTTACATAGCTGAATGTAAGTTTGGAAACTCCCACTTATTACCAAATAGCTTCATTTTTCTCTGTGGAAACAGAAACCCAGCAATTGAAAAGAACACTTTTGAATCTAACAGCTACCCACTTCCTGCAATCTTCACCGATGATTGCTTCTGTTACTGTGGTGGCAAATGTCGTTGCTCTTTAGTTTCTTCATTTATAAACATAAAAATAATATTTCTGCCTCTACCTTGTCAGAATTGTTATGAATATAAAAATGCCATAAAGTAGGTATAAAGTTCTATTTATAATATTATGATGACTTTTCAACATATATCTAAAATTGCTCCTGAAATGTGTTTATGCCTCTACATTAAAAGTAAACAGGAAAAACAGGTAATTATGAACTCTGAGGTAGAAGGAACTGACTTTATTCTAACCTGCAGCTACCTAGAGAGCTATTGAGAATACACACACGAATTATAATTTAAATGTTCAGAAAGGGATGAATGAATAATAAGACCAGTTTACAGAAGAGTTGGAAGATTCACAAGCTTAGAGTACAGGTAGTAATATATACAAATAAAACAGGGTAAGAGTAAGAAAAACAGCAACAGGCATGGAATGGAAAATGGCAAAGACAGGGAGTTGTGTGGATTGTACTGAATGGGGTCTGGGGAGCAGTATGTAGTTCAGCCTAAAAGAAACCCCTGCTCTTCAGTTGCCTGTTGCTGGTGGTTGCCATTAGCTATAAGCCCAGCAGACTAGATCTTCCAAGGAAGAAATCTGGATTTTTACATGAAATACTCTTGTATCGATAGGTAGTTAGGCTAGCCTATGCTGTGCTAACAGATAGCCCTGAAAGCCCATGTCTTAGCAATAGTTTATTTCTCTCTCTTGTGAAGTCCTCTGAGAGTCTCCAAGGAAGCTTTCCTCCAGGCATCAACCCAGAAACCTAGGCTCCTCCATCTCAACACCAGGCTTCCATGTTCCCAGAGGCCAAGTGTTATGGGTTGAATTGTATTCCCCAAAAAAGATATGTTGGTGGTTTATCCCCCAGTGCCTGAGAATGTGACCTTATTTAAGAGATAGGGTATATAAGAAATCATCAAATGAAAATGAGGTCATCAGGTGGGCCTAATCCAATATGACAGGTGTCCTTCTAAAAAGGGAAAGTCCTAGACACAGGAAAGACACACACATGGGGAGAATGCCACGTGAAGAATGATGCTGCCACCAGGCAAGGCACTACTAGAAGTGAGGAAGAGGCCTGGAGCAAGTCCTTCCCTCGCTCCTTCAGAGGGAGCATGGCCTTGTCAACACCTTAACCAGCTTCCGGCCCACAGATCTGTGAGACAATAATTTCGGCTGTTTAAGTCATTCAGTTTGTGGTACTTTTTTTATAGCAGCCCTAGGAACATAATACACTGAGAAACAGAAAGGTTAGAAAACACACATGGGAGCTTTTCCCTGCCTCGTCCTCAAAGACACATGTCATTTCTGCGAGCAGTCTGTTGACCAGAAGCAGTTGTGTGTCCCCCTGGCTACTCAGGGGCTGGGAGTATGACCCAGAAGAGGATAAGCGGATATTGGTGCGTGCTAGTAATATCTACTTTCTTCTCCTGACTTTTGAACATGTAATACAGTTAGGAAGAAAAGAACACAAGACTGAGCGAGCATTCACTGAGCCAAGCAAACCCTCCTTTGGTCTAGGGCTGTGGTCAGCAAACTGAGGCTCGCGAGCCACATGCGGTTCTTCAGTCCCTTGAGTGTGGCTCTTCCACAAAATACCACAGCCTAGGTGAGGCTATTTTGAAGAAGTGGCTTTAGAAGAAGTTTAAGTTTAAAAAATTTGGCTCTCAAAAGAAATTTCAATCGCTGTACTGTTGATATTTGGCTCTGTTGATTAATGAGTTTGTGGACCACTGGTCTAGGCTCATGGTGGGTTCCAGAGTAGGATCTGTCCTGAGGATAAGCCTACAGGCAGCACTGGCCTATTCATGGGGTAAGATTTATGATTCTGAGAGAATGTGAATTTTGGTCGTGGGTAGGAGTGAGCACAGTTGGTCTATAGAGCTGTTGGTATCAAATGGAGACCTGAACTTGGGGAAAGGATTCCGGAGAACATGAGACTTAGTGCAGCGTGAGGGTCTTAAAAAGGGGAGGATGCACAGACCACCAGCCACTAACAGTTTTTAGCTGGAGTTGTCTTTTTCTCCTATCCTATGCACCCCCATTCTCGTTTTCTTCCCCATTCTCCTGAGGAACCAGACCATTCTACTTAGTTCATTTGAATTAGAGGTCAAGTTGGTGTTTGGAGATGACTCTGGGAAGCTCCCCACCATTCATGCCATTGTTTCTGAAAACACATTCTAAATTTCAAACAGCTTAGGAAAATAATTGTTTTTAAAAAACAGCTCATGGGTGAATTTGGAATTGGGTATGTGTGTGTGTGCATATACAAATTTACAATCTTGATTTATAGTAAACTTAGCAATAACATTTTAAAATTATTTGTGTGCAATATACTTTACTCATGTGCATATAATTTAAAAATAATATATCTAGGTGCTTTCAACTGAATTTCTCTCAGACTATACATCATATTAACTTGGCTTATGGATTGTGCTAAGATTTATTCTTAAAGAACATGCTTGGTTGGTTTCACTGAGCCAGATTTTTTGAATATTCTAAAAAGCAAGAGGAAGAAATGAGACAAATTGTACTGTTCATGTGCTGTGGCACGAGCTAGAGAAATATAATTGGGCTTCAGGCCAAATTCTGAAGGCAATTGGAGCTGCTTATGTCAACCAGGCATAATTATTCCTTAGCTCCTGTTGACAGAAAGAAAAATTGGTTGTGATCCACTTCCCGATGCTGGGGATTCGGAAAGAATATTTGAGCTCCAGATCACGGCAGATGGATGCATGTAGAAGCCACTGATTTGTCATTTGCAGGGAGCAGGGAATCCTCCAGTTTGAAGGAGTCCTTGTGAATTAGTTGCCTTGAGCAATCAGTTCTATGGCTGAAGGCAGCACCATGCACTCAGTAAATGTTCGTTGAATGAATAATGAATCTGACCCAGAGATCTTCCCTGCAAGAGTATCTGCCTTTTCTTTTTACCATTCTTCAGTGACCATGGGAAGGTACAATGTCTGCACTGAATAGGCTAAAGCCTCACCCTCAGATTTATTTATTCAGCAAGTCCTTATTGAACCTACAAGGCAGTTGGAACTGTGCTAAGTTCCAGATGTCTAGTTAATGACAGCCCAACCCGAAGAAATGTGTTTATCCTGAAAAAGAGGGAGCTGTCTGAGCAGGCAGAGGCCTCCAGTGGAGCAGCGTGGTGACAGGAAGCCAGGGTGGGGAGTGAAGAGCCCAGCATGCTGACTTCCTTTTTTGACTTCAGGAACCTAATCTGTAGTAACAGATCCTATGTCATTCCTTCCCCTTGGACCCTGGGCTGTATTCCTCTGTTTCCTCGAAAGCCTTATGCCATCAGTTTTCTACAGTTGGTAGTATTTTCAATCTACCATTTACTGGCATATCTCTTCAGCATATAAATGTGTTATAAGTATTTTTTTCTGAGCAAAACCAAGGCCTTACTGAATTTTAAATCCCCCTTTAGTTTCTAATCTTTTCTTGTTATTTCCTTCATACAAACAGATTTTTGAAAGAGTTAATTTATTGACCCTTTTCTTGTGTCCCTTTGTCAGATATACCCACCCCAGAGTGGCTCCTGCCTCTCGTACTGAGCTAGAACTGTCCCAATGGCCGTGATACATGCATATTTAATCTATTTGGCAATGCATGTTGATAATGTTTTGGTGGCATTTTACCCTCCTGACCAGGCTTTTCCTGAAACCCTCTGCTTCCTGGATTTTGTGGCCTCAAATGCTCTTGATTTCTCAATAACCTTCCTGGTTCTTTTTCTCAAGGCATCCTCACAAGCAATTCTTATTCCACTCACTCTTTAAATGTGTTGTTTTTGTGTTTTTCCTCTGAGGTTTGGATTTTGGCCACCTCTTCTTTTCCCTCTATTTACTGTCCTTGGGTGATTTCATTACTCTCATGTCCTTAGCCAGTCCCTGTCCATGCTGACAATTCACAAATCTATATTTCCAGCCTAGATGTCTTGCTTGAGTCAGACCACATACCTATTACCTGTTTTATTTATTCATTGATATGCACCCCAGGAACTGAAAACCAATGAAAAAGTGAACTTTTCACCTTTTGTCTACATACTACTTTTCCTCCACCTCAGTGCATGGTATGATAATTCTCTACTCAGTTGCCTAAGTCATACCACAATTAAGCAGCTACCATGTCTCATCAATCCTACCAACATTTTATTTTTCAGATTATTCCCCTTTTCTTTGTCCCTACTTCCACTAACTCAGCACAGGCATTGTAATTTTTTGCTGCTGTAACTTTTACCTTTCTGTCACCAAAGTTGCCCACTGTTAAGGACTTAATTGTATCCAATACATATGTTGAAGCCCTACCTTCTGATGTGACTGTTTTAGAGATAGAACTTGTGTGGGAAATTAGTGCAGTGATTCTATAGTTCCTGCACTCCTTGGTATCTCCTTTCTTTCTTTCTTTTTTTTTAATCTCTCATAGAAGTATCTAAGGTCCAATGAGGTTGTAAGGGTGGGTGACAATCTAATATAACATGTCTTCTTAAGAAGATGGAGAGAGTAGAGATTACACAGTGCAGAGAAAACATCAAGTGAGGACACAGCAAGAAGGTGGTCATCTGCAAGCCAAGGAGAGAGGTCCTCAGTAGAAAGCAGACCTGCAGCCACCTTGATTTTGGACTTTCAACCACCAGAACTGTGAGAAAATAAGTTCTTTTAAGTTATCCTATCTCTGGTACTTTGTTATGGCCGCCTTCACAGACTACTATACTCCCTTGGATGGAATTTTTCAAAAATAAATTTGATCACATCACTGTCCTTCTTAAACTTTTTTATGTAGCTGTTCCCTCTACATTTGACCCTACCTCTCTCTCAGTATACTGGCTTTGCTAAATGATAGGATGTACCAAGCCCCCTCTGTATCTTTGCAAATGTTCTTTCCTTGGCTGTGTTGTTCTTCCTTGTCCAGACTATCCCCTTCCCTCATAATTTCTGTTTGCCTTTTGTGACCTGATCCTTGCCTTCCTAGTCTGCAGGATGCTGTTCCAGAGCTTCCATAGACCTAAACTGTCCCCTTCTCCAGACTGAATTCTTGAAAGACAGGTCTGAGGTCTTATTTATTTTTCTATTTTCAGCATTTGAGTGATACTTGAGTGATAGTAGGTATTCAAAAATTATTTTGGATAAATAAACAAACAGTAAAATCCTTTATTATCAGGGATACAAAAGAAAATTTGACAAATCACCCTGATACCATGGTCTGGCAGTAGCCTCTTTTGGGATCCACTTTACATTATGATTTATTGGACCTACTCATGCTGGTGCCCCGAAGACCAAGAATAACATTATCATTATTTTCACCATTGTTATAACAATATTACTTTTTATTCATTTAGCCAGTACTATTTGCATAAAGTATGCCATGAACTATTAAAGTGTTCTGAGCCCAATTTCTGTGTGTGTGTGTGTGTGTGTGTGTGTGTTCCACAACACCAAAAATTCTTCAATACCAGCAGGGTCTCCTTCAATTCAACTCAATTCTGACACTATATGCATGGAGATAGCATTGGATAGCACAGGTTAAGAGCTCAGTCCCACAAAAACAGCCTTATTGTACTTCAGATACCAATTGCAAGAATGGTAGTCCCCCTTCTCTGTGGGGGATACCCCTCAGTGAATGCCTGAAATCGCAAATATAGTAGCTAACAATATGTGTTTGTTACATGCCATTGGGTCAGCACTGATACCTGGGACACCATGAATAATGGGTGTCTGCAGTATGCTGTTCTCAGCAGCCCTGCTCTGTTCCTGTAGACTCATGTTTATGGCATCTCTTATGAAGTCAATCCATCTTGCATTTGGTCTTCCTCTTTTCCTGCTGCTTTCTATTTCCCCCCGTTTTTCTTTTTTTCCCCAAAGAACCCTGCCTTCTCCAGATGTGCCCTAAGTAGGACTGCTTTGGTTTTGTCAACTCTGCCTTTAGCAATGTTTCAGACTTACTTTGCTCTAGGACCCCCTTGTGCATCTGTCTGATGGTACCCATTGAGCTCTTCTCTAACAACATATTTTAAATGAACCTATATTTTTCTATAAACCTTTTTCACTGTCCAACTTTTGCATCTTTACATAGTATTTGGGACCACAAGAGTACGGCTGAGCTTAGCCTTAGTCTCTAATGACACAAATTTGCTCTTGATGATTTTTTCTAATTCTTCCATTGCTGCCCTTCCATGTCTCAGCCTTCTCTTGATTTTTTGGCTGTAGTCTTCATTTGACTTGATGACAGAACCAGGATAAGCAAAATCTTTAGTGATTTTAGTGTCTGCATTATTTTTGTTAAAATTGCGTGTTACTCCTGTAGTAATGATTTTTGTCTTCTTGCTATTCAAATGCAGTCCTGCTTTGGCCTTTTAATTTTTCATTTTCATTAGAAGTTATTTCAAATCATTGGTACTTTCTGCCAATAAGATGGTGTCATCCGAATACCTGACGTTATTGATATTTTTCCCACCAATTTTCTCTCCTTCCTCTGAGTCTAGCCCAGTTTTTTGTATAGTATGTCTGTGTTCGGATTAAACAAATATGGAGATAAAATGCACCCTTGTCTGGCACCTTTGCCTATAAGAAATCATTCTGTCAATCCATATTCTGTCCTGGCAGAGGATTCCTGTCCACAGTACAGTTTTTGCATTAGAACATTCAAGGGCTCAGTACTCCCATTTCTCTCAGAGCAAGCCCTAGCTTTTATGATCAACAGAGTAGAAGGCTTTCATATAGTTTATAAAACACAGACTGACCTTTTTGAAATTCTTTGGAGCTTCATTATCCAGCAAATGCTCACATTAGATCTCGAGTGCCTCTTCCTTTTCTGAATTCAGTTGGAACATCTGTCATTTCTTTCTCCATATAAGGTAGAAGCTTTAGCTGCATCACCTTGAGTGTTGTTTTACTTGTGTGGGAAATTAGTGCAGTGGTTCTATAGTTCCTGCACTCCTTGGTATCTCCTTTCTTTCTTTTTTTAAAATATATTTTATTGACTTTTTACAGACAGGAAAGGAGAGAGATAGAGAGCTAGAAATGTCGATGAAAGAGAAACATCGACCAGCTGCCTCTTGCACACCCCCTATCAAGGATGTGCCCGCAACCAATGTGCATGCCCTTGACCGGAATTGAACCTGGGACCTTTCAGTCCACAGACCAACGCTCTACCACTGAGCCAAACTGGTTTTGGTGGTATCTCCTTTCTTGAAGATTAAGATGGGTTTTATGTTTCCAGTCTATAGAACATTGTTTTGTTTTTCATATTTGTTGACATATTCTTGTTATGATTATGACAGATTCTGTCTCCATGGCTTGAACTAATCATATTGGTATCCCATCTACCTCTGATGATTTATTTCTTCCCAGTACTTTCAGGGCAGCTTTTGCTTCACTTTCTAGAATTACAGGATTTCTAGGGATCTTCTTCAAAGGTATCTGTCATGCTTTTGTCTCTTCTGTATAGATTTTCAATATACTGTTTCCACCTCCCCTTTATTTTCTCCTGATTAGTTAATTGGCTTCCTTGTTGGTTGTTCAGCATTCTTATTCTAGTTTTAAATTTCTTGAACCTCTTGGTAAAGATTTCTTGTTGTTCCTTTTTTTTCTTTCATCTCCTTCAATTGACTATTGTAATAGTTCTCTTAGTTAGTCTTTCTAACCCTGCTTTTGTTACCTTCTACTTTTGCCTCTCATTTGTCTTTAACAACTTTAAATGTTTCTCTAGTCATCCACTCAATTTTTCTCTCATTTTAACTTCTGACATTGTCTTTTTGCACTTTTTCCTAATGGTATTTCTACTTTTATCCCACAGTTGTGGACTCAGTCAATTAAGTTTAATGTTGCAAATATTTTTATGTGAACTTTAAATCCATCAGGAATATTATTTACACTATAAGTTGACACTATGATCCTTTTAGAGTTCTTCAGCTTTACTCTATTGTTTGATATAAGCAGTTAGTGATCAGCACCACAGTTTGCTCCTGGTCTTGTTTTGCCAGAGAGAATACAGTTTCTCCATCTTCTGCTTCTAATTACATAGTTTATTTGATGCCTATATTGGCCATGTGGTGATGTCCATGAATATGGTCATCTGTTTGGTTGTTTGAAGCATGTATTGGTGGTGAACAAATTGTTGGCATCACAGAAATCCATGAACTGATCACCTGCTTTGTTTCTGACTTCTAGTTCAAATTTTCCGATGTCACTTGATTCTGCTTTATTTCCTGCTTCTTTTTTTCAGTCACTGTAATTATCACCATGTCTTGTTTTGGTGTTTGATTAATTTCTCCAGGGATATTTGTATAAAAGCTTTCAATTTCATTTCTTTAGCCTTTGCAGTTGGAGCATAGACTGAATGATGATTATTTTAATAGGTTTTCCTAGAAGTCTAACTGATATTCCATCAGACCTTGCATCGTAGCCCATAAATGTCTGTGCCTCAGTATTAATGGCATTCTGTTTTTTTTTTTTTTTTTTTTTTTTTTTTTTTTTTTTTTTTTTTTTTTTTTTTTTTTTTATCAAACTCTATATGTACTGTGTTTTTCCTATACGTACATATTCTTACAGCTTTCTTTGGCATACCCAAATTGCCAGAATCACTACTCTTGTGCTTTGGGGCCATTATTAAGTAAAATAAGGATTACTTGAGCATAAGCACAATGATACTGCAGCAGTAGATGTGACAACTGAAATGGCCACTAAGTGCCTAGCGGTGATGAGTAGTGTATGCAGTGTGAATACACTGGACAAAGGAATAGTTCACATCCTGGGTGGGGCAAAGCAGGATGGAGTGAGGGTTCATAGCACCACTCAGAATGATTTGTAATTTAAAACTTACAAATTGCTTATTTCTAAAATTTTCTTATTTAATATTTTCTAACCACAGCTGACCCCAGGTAACTGAAAATGCAGAAAGGAAAATAGAGGATAAGAGGGGGCTGTAATAAATCCTACTTTTAGGAAGGCAAGGATTCTGTCCAATTTGGCTGTAAATCAGAGTTTGCAATTTCCCCTCCCTCCACACCCCTACCCTGCTTTGGTTTGATTGATTTGTTAGAGTGGCTCACAGAACCCAGGGAAACATTTACTTACATTAACCAGTTCATTAAAGGATCTGAAATGATACAGATGAACAGGCGGATGAAGATATGCACAGGGAGAAATACACAGGGTCTGGGTGAGTCCTGAGCTTCTAGCCCTATGGAGTTGAGGTATGTCACCCTTCCGGTATACAGATGTGTTCACCCACCTGTCAGTTCACCTACACTTGTGCTATTGGGATTTCATAAAGGCTTTCTCACTAGGCATGACCAATTACTCCATTTCCAGCCCCTCTTCATTTCGAGAGAAGCCGGGAGCAGGGCTGAAAGTCTGCTTCTAATTATGAGTTGGTCTTTCCTGAGCCACCTAGGAGCCCAGCCAGAGTTGCCTCATTAGAACAAAACATGTGCCTAGTTCTCTCATCACCGAGGAATTTACAAAGTTTCAGGAGCTCTGTGCCAGGAACCGGGGACAGAGACCAAAATATATTTTTCTATTATCTCATAGTTGAAGAAAAAACATATTATTTTATCCTCACAACCGCTCTATGAAGTAACATCTACACAGAAAAGAAACCAAGGCTTCGGAAAGTTAAACAATTCATCCCAGGTTGTAAGTGGTGAAGTTGGAACACAAGCTCAGCTAATATTTTATTTGCCCCCTATATTTTCTAAACTTTTTGCTATTGCTTATATAGGAATATATAACTATCTATTTCCTGCCTAAGAGCCATGAGTAGAAATGACCTGTACACATTCTGGGCTGTGTACAGGTGATATAGATGATTCTCTAGCATCTCTTCTCCTCCTGAGGAAAGCCTTCAAGGCCCACCTAGAAGTGTCAGAGTGTGCATCAGCCTGGGACCCTACCCACCTAGGAGGAGCAGAACCCAGCTGGCCGGTAGTTGATGTGTAGTGAGAGTGAGCATTAAAATCTGTCATCTCATAGTGACTGAGATTTTGAGGATATTGTCACAAAAGCATGTTCAATTTTATCTTGACTGTTAAAAACTTTATCTCCCCTGACAGGGAGAGCCCTGGTGTCCGTTAGAGCAGTCCCATCCTCCATAGAAAAAGAATGTGCAAAGGGAGACCCTAATACATCTCAACAATCTATTATAATTGTCTCTCCAGCACAGAGTCAGACTCTCCAACTGCTCAGTAAGGTCGTATTGGATTATTAAGTGTACATGAAGCATCAGCTTCTTGAAGACCTTAAATATCTAAGTTGGAGAGCCAACAAGGATGCAACTGTAATCAACAAAAATATATACAAACACAAGGCAGTAATTATGTGAGTGCATTGAGGCATTATCCACCAAATGATTATAAATTATGATAAATTGGTGGTATTAATCAGGGATGAGGGGTGTAGACCTTGAACTGTCATGTCAAAGCTGGAAGGGTTTATTGAAGGATTTTTAAATCTTAGCAGCATTAACATAATGGGCCAGATAATTCTCTGTTGTGAGGGCCAACCTGCATATTGTAGGATGTTTAAGATATTAGCAGCTTTCCTAGCTTCTACTTACTAGCTACCAGTAGCATCAACTCAGTAGCACGACAATCAACTTTTCCATAAATCTCCTGCGGGGCTGTATGACTGCTGTTTGAGAACCACTGGCTTATGGATAATCAGTTGTGAATGACCTTCTTTCATATATTTCACTAGGGGCTAGACAAGAAGAGCTGGGAGGAAATGCTCACGTGGCAGGTGTAGGGAACACCAGGAATGCAGTGCCCACAGACATCTCCCTCCATGAGAGATAATTTTCCTCGACACTTCCTTGTTTGTGGGTTAAAGCATAGGGATATTGCTTTCCCTTTTAATGTCTAGTATACTTAGAAAGGATTACCCAGTAGGTTATAGCCAGGCATTCATACAACAAAGGAAGGATCTGAGAATAAATTGAACTAAGAGGAAGAAAAGATTAGCAAGATACGTCACACTGAAAAAACAAAAAAACACAAAAAAACCCAAAAAACAGCAGGCCCAAGGAGGCAGAGCTGATAGCAGGAAGTGGCAAGGGCTTCCTAATAGTGTGTTGCAAGCTAGTCCAGGATGGGAGCCCTGGTGTTTTCATGGAGAGGAAGTCGGCTGGGAGAGGATCTGTTTCATGTATCTGGTCTATCAAGGAGAATACTCAGAAATAAAATAAACAAGGCAAGCTCTGATTAAATTAAAGTTTAAACAAAAGTACTAAACTCTTAACAATAAAAACTCAGTGGATAGAGCATCAGCTTGTGGACTGAAGGGTCCCGGGTTTGATTCTGGTCAAGGGCACATGTCTGGGTTGCAGGCTCAATCCCAGTAGGGGGCATGCAAAAGACAGCTGATCAATGATTCTCTCTCATCATTGATGTTTCTAACTCTCTCTCCCTCTCCCTTCCTCTGAAATCAATACAAGTAAGTAAGTAAGTAAGTAAGTAAGTAAATAAATAAATAAATAGGAGAGAAAATTCTTGCCTGAATACAGGCAGGAGAAGAAAGCTTTAAAACATATTTTATTTATCTATGAATGGAGATTATTTTTCCTGATGGGATTAATAATACAAAATGCCATCCTTAATCTCTCACACACACACATACACATGCATATATGTATACATGATATTTAGGGAATGAGGTAGATTTTGTCCGTCTGAATCTGTATCAAGGTCATAAAGTAGTCATGTTTATTTCTTAGCCCTCTGGTTGTTCTCTGACTTCCTCCTCTCTCATATCTGTTCTCTTGTTAGATGTGCAAAACATGGTTCCATTGCCTATATAAGAGGCTTACTCTGGATGGTCTCATAATAATCCTCTTATCCCCACCTCCTTAGCATTTCCCTCCCCATCCCAGTGACATGGTTGGGACTAGGACATTAAAGATCAGCCATAAGGCATGCCTCATGTGATAGTCCAGGTCCAGCAGAAAGCAGATGTCAAGGCAGGGTTTTATGAAGAAAAATGTCAGAAGAAATGGAAGGAAGCTAAGAGAGTCTGAGAGAGCCTGTGAAGTAGAATGCAAGTCTGACTTTGAGTGAAGGGCAGAGGAAAGAAAGTTTGAAGGAAAGCTGAGCAGGCTAAGGAAAATTCTAAGGAAAGTCTGGCAAGGCTCTGAGGAAGTCCTTGAGCCAAAGTCACCCATTCAGTAAGTCCATATCTTCCAGGAAAGAGCCTTTTTTTGCTGAGCTTAGTCATTGCCTGGGAGCAGCTTGTGAGAAGGGCAGCCTTGGCGCCAGAGCAGTGATGAATTTTGATGGGTGTCAGAGCCAGCAGCAGCTTGAGGTTGTTGGTCAGTCACATTCCCAGCAGGTGGAAGACTGAAACCCATTTTCATGGCTGCACAGTTTGCGATTTATGGAGAAGCTGGTTTGGAAAACATGCTTCCTCTCTGCAACAGATGGGAATGTTTTCAAGATTCTGAGAAAACATTTGGTAGAACAGATCCTCATCTCAAATGACTGTGATTTCCAGAATGCTGGCTGTTGTCTATGTGGATGGAGTCATAGAAGGAATGGTATTTGGGGAATGGGTGAATTTTGTTCTTATGCATCTGATGTGAGCAATTTTACAAACCCAAAAAGGCATATGAGGTATGATAATGAACCCACATCTTTGAAAAGGAGCAATATTAGAAAACCAAAGAGTGGGTATGCTTTTCTCTTAGCCTTTCCTGCTTCTTCTCTGGCTTTGTCATGACTGAAACCTATTCTCTCATTAGATTTAAAGAACTATTTGACATGGACTGGCTCTTTCATTCTTCACTCCGCCCTCTTTCTAGATGGATTGTTAGAAAGCTATAAAAGCTGCATACTCCAGCCGAAACCGGTTTGGCTCAGTGGTGGAGCGTCAGTCTGCGGACTGAAAGGTCTCGGGTTCGATTCCGGTCAAGGGCATGTGCGTTGGTTGCAGGCACATCCCCGGTAGGTTGATGTTTCTAGCTCTCTATCTCTCTCTCTTCCTCTCTGTAAAATATATATATATTAAAAAAAAAAAAAGCAAAAAAAAAAAAAATAAATAAAGCTGCATACTCCAGACTTGAGGCTGAATTTTTTTTTTTTAATTTGGTGAGCTGGGGCTGAGATTTGGAAGAAAGGAGGCAGATGCCATTCCAATACAACTGTTGTTTCTGGCAGACTGGGCCATTACATGTAAGATTTGAAGAGTTGGAGTGAGGGAACCAGAATCATTGTCTAGTCACCAGATTTGTTAGTTTGAAGGATGGTTGTGGCCATGGCCAAAGTATCAGTTTCCTGACCTGTGGCTTGTCACCATGGAGTGACCTTGAAATCTATAGCTAAGTGGCAGCTCTCTGACTGATGTTTCTTCAGTCCTGCCAATGTCTTTGTAAGCCCCCCAATAGCCAATATTAATCTCTCTGCTGGGATTATCTTGAGTAGTTTCTGTTTTCTGCACCTAACCCTGATGTATAGTAATGAAACTTCTCCCAAGGAAGACTTGTTTATTAACTCATTTGTTTTTTTATTCTGTCAATAAATATTTGTCCATTCAGCTGTTGAGTATTGGCCATATGCCTAACATTATGCAAGGCTCCTAGGATTTCCTTATAACCCAGACAAAGATTCTGCCCTTAAAGAAGTTACAATCAAAAGCCAGGCTTTGCAGTGGGGTGGGGAGACAGTACAGAGAATTATTAATGATTAAAAAGTCCAACATGGAATGCTTGGTATGGGGAAAAGAAGGGAGACTCACCCTCATTATGCATTAATTATGTGTCAGATATTATGA